TTGGTACGGAACCCATAGAAATGTAAACAAAAATTTATACTTATTGTTAAAATCTCTATAAAATATCTGATAATTTGATGTGCATATATCTAATGATCATTTTTGACCTCAAAATGGCATTTTTTCCTTTTTTCCTAGATCTCCGAAACCGATAGACCTGCCTTCCCAAAAATTTAATCAATTCTTCATATTGTCAATACAAGTAAAAGTTTTTGAATATTAAAATCGAACGCTCCGTTCTCTTAAAAACTGAGTTGAAAAATTTTGAGCTTTTTTCGAGCAATCGAACTGCTTTAACTGCATAGAGTAGAAAATATAGAAGCGCGTAGCACCGCGTCGCCGCTTAATTGATAAAACATTGGTACGGAACCCATAGAAATGTAAACAAAATTTATACTTATGTTAAAATCTCTATAAAATATTTGATAATTTGATGTGCATATATCAATGATCATTTTGACCTCAAAATGGCATTTTTTCTTTTTTTCCTAGATCTCCGAAACCGATAGACCTGCCTTCCAAAAATTTAATCAGTCTTCATATGTCAATACAAGTAAAAGTTTTTGAATTATTAAATCGAACGCTCGTTCTCTAAAAAACTGAGTTGAAAAATTTTGAGCTTTTTTCGAGCAATCGAACTGCTTTAACTGCATAGAGAAGAAATATCGAAGCGCGTAAGCGTCGCCGCTTAATTGATAAACATTGGTGAACCCATAGAAATGTAAACAAAATTATACTTATTGTTAAAATCTCTATAAAATATCTGATGATTTGATGTGCATATATCTAATGATCATTTTTGACCTCAAAATGGCATTTGTTCCTTTTTTTTCTAGATCTCCAAAACCGATAGACCTGCCTTCCCAAAAATTAATCAGTTCTTCATATTGTCAATACAAGTAAAAGTTTTTGAATTATTAAAATCGAACGCCCCGTTCTCTTAAAAACTGAGTTACCGTTTTTGGCACTTTTTGTTTCGTATCTTCGATAAAAATAAAGATAAAATGTTCAACAGTTTATTTCGAAAATAAAATTCTCACTTTCACTAAAAATTAATCGATGCAGTTCCCAATTGATGTCTTTCAAACATAGTATCTGTTATTCTATGAATTAAATTAATTTGCTTACCGCATTTTATTTAATCCATTTCGTCTTTAAAAATGTATTCTATTTAAGTGTGGACGTCGACTGTAATCAGTTAACACAGAAATTGCATATGCTTTGCCATAATTCTTCGGCAAAATTTTAAACTTTGATGATTTTTTATAATTCATTTGCTTAAATGCATATCGTATGTTTAACATTTAATATCGAAGAAATGGCTCGGTCGATCCTTACCAAAAACTAGCTGTAAGTGGAATTCTGTCTTAAGGCAATTAAAGCATCGTGCCTTAAGGCAAATTGCTGGAACTTCCCGTACCAAATTTTTTTTTTTTTAAAAAAAAGATTAACATTTTCGAAAAAAATTTACTTCGAAAAGATAAGATTTTTGAGAAACTATAAATTGGACCAAAAATTACTTTTTTTTGAAAAAATTTTTTTTTTTTCAATTTTTTTTTTTGAAAAAAATGTGTTCTTTATTTTGACATATTTTGGAAGATCTAAACTTTTTTTCAAAGCAATCGTACTGCTTTAACTGCATAAAGACGAAATATCAAAGCGCGTAAGCGCCGCGTCGCCGTCTAACGCGTAAACTACCAATGTTTACGCGTTAGACGGCGACGCGGCGGAACCCATAGGACTGTAAACCAAATTCATACTTATTGTTAAAATCTCTATAAAATATCTGATAATTTGATGTGCATATATCTAATGATCATTTTTGATCTCAAAATGGCATTTTTTCCTTTTTTTCCTAGATCTCCAAAACCGATAGACCTGCCTTCCCAAAAATTTAATCAGTTCTTCATATTGTCAATACAAGTAAAAGTTTTTGAATTATTAAAATCGAACGCTCCGTTCTCTTAAAAACTGAGTTACCGTTTTTGGCACTTTTTGTTCCGTATCTTCGATAAAAATAAAGATAAAATGTTCAACAGTTTATTTCGAAAATAAAATTCTCACTTTCACTAAAAATTAATCGATGCGGTTCCCAATTGATGTCTTTCAAACATAGTATCTGTTATTCTATGAATTAAATTAATTTGCTTACCGCATTTTATTTAATCCATTTCGTCTTTAAAAATGTATTTTATTTAAGTGTGGACGTCGACTGTAATCAGTTAACACAGAAATTGCATATGCTTCGCCATAATTCTTCGGCAAAATTTTAAACTTTGATGATTTTTTATAATTCATTTGCTTAAATGCTTATCGTATGTTTAACATTTAATATCGAAGAAATGGCTCGGTCGAACCTTACCAAAAATAATTAACGCAATTCTCAACCAATATCTTTTGAAGAGTTTTTGAATTTCGCACATTTCGGGATGTTTTCTCAAAAACGACCGACCAATTTCGATAATTTATTGGCTCGTCTGCACTACAAAAATCTTTTGTACGGCGAATCTGTTCGCAATGTTCGCAATCCCAGAATAGGTGTATACAATTTGTATCTTTATGTAAAAATCAATGTATGTATTTAAGTCAAATAAAGCAAATTTTCAAGTTAAAAAAATTAAAATTTTCGCAATGTGCGCAGACAAAATTATTGCAAACAAAAGCAAACCACACGCACGTTGCGAACAGGGTTCGTCAACCCTCGAATGCACCATAAAAGACATTTAATTTAACTCGATCAGCTCAGTCGTTTCTTTATAATTGTCAGATAAGTTCCGTCAATGTTTCTGCCAGACATTCTGAATCGATTATGACATTTCAAAAACTTTACAGAATATATCATTTGGGTAGGGGGATGTGCTAATTAATTTTTTTTAATGATCGGCCGGATCGTTTCATCTTTGTCTCAAAAATTGACGATATCAATGAAATTCTAAATAAAGATAGAGTTGCAGATCGCAACCAACATTCTAAAATATTACAGGCATTTGGATAATAGTTTAATTATAAAAAATATTGAAAGTTTGGAAAAATGAGTCATGGGTCAAGACATACAATATCTTCTGACTTTTTTACTATAATCCGGGGATCCAAACTTTCCACTAATTCGACACCTTCTGGTTTTTAATAGTGTCGGATTAGCGAGATTCTACCGTATATATATTACAATATTCGGGTGTATTATTATTACATCTTACCTCAAGGCAAAATTTCACTTACGTCTAATTTATTTTCATTGATGGCACCACATTTAATTGAACACCTTTTACTAGTTTATTTATAGTTTCTATTTTACTTACTCAATCTTTTTGCTCCTCGGTTTTTAATCTCTTATATATTCTTTTTTCGTATAATTGTTCTTCGTTTTTTTAGTACTTCTTTATCATTTGTTCTATGATGTTGTGGAAAAAGGACCTTCTTCTCAGCATAGATATAAGTAAGCTTTCCAATTTGGATTTCATACAATTTCGTTTTTTTAATTTTCCATAGGGTAACACACACATATACATCATTTTTTTCTAAGATATGCCAAAATGTCCAGAAACCTTTGAAACGTAAATATATATAAATTAGGTTAAGTTTATAGTTTAAACGTAGTAGAAGGTATTACCTAAATCATAAATAGTTCAAATTAATGTATTTCATAGTTATTTTCATAACATTTTTGTAATTCTTACATTTGTTACATATTACCATAGATAAGTAAACATATTACAGTTTTTTATGTTGTATACTCTTTTATATATAGTATATTGTATACTATTTTGTATACTTTTTATATTGTATATTGTATATTGTATACTTTTTATATTGTATACATTTTCCTTATCTATGTTGTATTCTCTTCTTTTATCTATGATTGTATCCATTTATGCTTATTTATCTATGATTGTATATATTATGACTGTGAACTTTGGTACAAGCGGTGTTATCAGCGTCTCACGGTAACAAACTAGTATTGTTTTGACATTTCTATGGAAGCGTAAATATTTTGCGTTTTTTGTAATTGAGTTTACTGTAATCTTATATTTATTTACAAAAATGAATGCTTTAAATAATAAAAATATACATTTTACCCCTTAATAAGGGCAGATTTTAATAATAGACATGCTTGCCGAGTGAGTGCCATCCCATAAATAGATAATAGTGACTACTCCATTCTATTCAAAACAATACATACAACTCTGTCTTGATATAAAGCTTCAATAATAGATGTTTTGATTGCGAAGTAAGTGTATGAGTGATTTTATATAAAAAAGTGCTCGAAACAATGATATGTTGAGTGATCGTATTTATTTTTATTAATTTTTATTTTCCTTCAAGCAATATTAATTTATAATAACCGTTAACGACATCTTTTCTCCCGCTAACAAGCCTATTTTGAGGTACGCCTACTTACTATTTGTTATTATAAACGTGACGCAGTAACTCTATTGTCAATTTGTAATATGCCACCTGTTTTATTTTATTTGTTTACAGCACGTTAAATAACAATATTTTTGATCAATTGTGCTGAAAAAAGGTATCCATAACATTATCATTGAACTGTGCATAAGTATTGTCAAATTTGAATTAAAATTCTCATTCCACTTTTGAGCCTGTTAAGATTAAAGCGCTTAATATATATTTTGATATTTTTCCTATATTATAGGTTTCTTGCATTATGCATTGTAGCATGGGGTCTGTAACATAAATTAAAAACAATATTGTAATAATATTAGTCCAAGTTTTTACTAGTAAATATGAGTACCATGGAGGAGTCAAATGAAGTATTGGTTTGTGCTTCGGAGTATCTAAAAGGTAACTAGTTATTAACAGTATATTAACTATAATATAGGTGGCAGGTTTTCATTATCAACATTTGATTTGATTTTTAGTTACAGTAGGACGTAATGGCAGAAGTATTTTAATTTCAATATCATTGAAACATTATGATTATTTTTGTAGCAGTCGTTGCTAGGTTAAAGTTGTATATTTTAGTTCGAAGCTTTCTTTATATCATTAAAAAAATTAGTTAAGTTAGTTTTGAAATCCCATTGCATTTTGTTTAAATGACCTGCATTTTCACTGAGAATTTAGTTCATGTTATCAGCTATTATTTTGTAATTTTGTTTATAAAAATAAGCTTTAAAATATTTTATTTATTATTCTACTTCTAATATTTCTTTTTTATATGATAAGCAGTATAACAATCACCTATGTGTAATAGTACACAACATCTATTACAAATATATCTAATTTAGCTTCGATTTCTCTCTGAAGAGCATACTCTACATGCTCTACTCAGATTTGCTTTTCTGGCAGTGACTATTTTTTCTAAGTCCTGGTTGTTTACAAGTGCATTACGAGTTAATTTCTGGCCGGTACACAATGTTCAGCCATAAAAACACGAGTTAAGTCATAACCAGTCAACAGTGTGAATATCTTATATCAGAAAGAGAGTATGAATATAACTTTATCAAAAACAAAAAAGCTGCTCAGTATATAATAAATATATCTATTATATAATTAACTAATCAAATTACATATTAGTTTATTTAATGCTAGTGTTATGATTATTATTTTTTTGTTATTTACATTAAGATTGTATTTTTGATATAATTCATATCACTGGTATACGGCAGGAAAAAATGTCAATAGCTGATATAGTTCAATTTCTGATTATATCATGTTTCACATAAATATCATCTGAAAATTTTGTTACCTTTATTATAGGCTTGCTTCAAAAATTTATAGTTCTCCATTATAAAGGCATTAAATTTTTTCATGTTTTTGTACAGATCGTCTCTACTTCGTAACGCTAAGAACCTCTGTGAAACCAAAATCAACTGTGAATACACATTATTTTTGTATTGATGATGAATTGGTCTATGAGAATTTTTATGCGGACTTTGGTCCCCTAAACTTATGTATGCTGTACCACTACTGCATGAAACTGAACAAAAAGCTAAGTGCTTTTACATTATCGAAAAAAAAGATAGTACATTACACAACAGTGGATCAACAGAAAAGATTAAATGCAGCTTATCTCATAGCAGCTTATTCTGTAAGTATAAATATATTTATCGACTTATTTGCATGTTGAATTACTACACAACTAAAATTTGAAGTGAAGAAAAAAATAACAATTCTTAAACAGTTATTCTTATATTTTTCTTTATTTAAATTTGGTTGAGAAAAAAAAGATTACAACTTGATCACCATTAATTTTATTCAACAAGATGCAAGATGCTAAACATATAATTGATGTATTTTTTAGATGATCTACTTAGATAGAACACCTGAAGAAGCTTATAGCCCACTCTGTGGTGGTACAAATCCGCCTCTTATTTTATTCCGAGATGCCTCTTATGGGGTACCATTCTATGAAATATCACTGATAGACTGCTTGTATGCTCTACATAAGGCCTTGCAACATGGCTTCTTTGATTTCAATGATTTTGATTCAGCAGAATATGAATATTATGAGGTAAACCTTATAAATTTTTGAAAATATTAACATTGAATATTATATAATGTGAAAAATAAATATGAGAAATATTTACAGCGTGTGGAGAATGGTGATTTGAACTGGATACTACCAAGAAAATTCATTGCTTTCTGTGGTCCACACGCCAAAAGTAAAGTTGAGCATGGATATCCTTTACACGCACCTGAATCTTATTTCCCTTATTTTCGGAGACATAATGTTACAACCGTGATAAGGTTGAACAAGAAAATTTATGATGCCAGCCGATTTTCTAATGCTGGATTTGATCACAGAGACCTATTTTTCATTGATGGAAGTACTCCTAATGATACCATACTAAAACAGTTTATTCAAATATGTGAGAATACTTCAGGAGCAGTAGCAGTTCATTGTAAAGGTAGATACACTAAGATAGGTATACACATATTAGCGTATCTTAGTCATAATGTATGTATATTTATGAATGTAGTACATATTTGTATGTCATCATTCAAATCAGTAAATATTTAAACAAAATAGGGCTTAGCATATGTGCCTTATTGTTGGTCTTTGAATGATCATGCAAATTCCTTTAACTATATGAATGTGGTTCAGTGCAATTGATTGGATTGTTTTTGACATATTTTGTTTATGAAATTAATTGCCTTGCAAAAGAGCCTACCTTATCTTTTTATTTCTGTAACATTTTTATTGATACTAATATTTAATGGTTTATGATTTAAGTGATCAGTGAAATAGTAATTGAAATGCAAATTTTCATTTTATGTTTAGCTGGTTTGGGACGAACAGGATCTTTAATAGCTTGTTACATTATGAAGCACTATGGATTTACAGCCCACGAAACAATAGCATGGCTAAGAATATGTCGGCCAGGCTGTATAATTGGACGTCAACAACCTTGGCTTGAAGAGTAAGTCTGTTTGTAATTTGATTGTTCTTTTTTTGACCACTGGATAAACAACTTTATTAAAAAGATTACTGAAACTAAAGAGATTTCTTACTTGTAAAAAGCCTTATAAATTTTGTTTTTAAATGGAAACAATGGATGTTAGCTTTGCAATTATACTGAATGTTAAAATTATCTCAGATCCAAAATTTTTGAAGTAGCGATATTTTAATTTCAAGGAAACAACCACAAATGTGGGCTGAGGGAGAGCTCTATAGGAAGAAGCACGCCATAACAGAGTATCCCAAGCATGAGTATGGTATTTATAGTCATGCGAACCAAAACACTCGGGAAATGGCTAATACTGATGATAATATAAATTCCAAAGTTCGGCCAGATAATGTGTCACGAATCCTACAAAAGGTAATATACTAAAAAGAGAAATTTGATATTTTATTGTTTAATATTTGGTTCTCAAAATAAAAATTGTAAATTAATTAAATTTTGTAGGTTGATACAATGAAACTGAATGATCAAGAAGATGACAACCGGAATGTAGAAAGATCATTGTTAGCTAATCAGTTAATAGAAGATGCTGCAAACTTAAACAGTATAACACCAGCTTTAACACAGGGAGATAAACTAAATCAAATAAAGGCCATGCGCAGACATTCAAGATCCGTTATTATGACAGCTATTCAGTAAGTTTGAATCCTTTTCATACCACAATAATTTTTTATGAAGACATTATTTTTATTAACATGTATTTTCTTATAGGAATGATGATGGTAGAATGCACATGAGAGCCAAATCTCAACCTTTCCGAAGTGGAAATTCAGCACTATCACCCCTAAAATCAGCCCGCGGTACTTGTACAACATCTGCATCAAGATCAGATAATCGAACAGACAACCAAAGCACAGGGGCAGCTGTGAAAAGATCTTCACGATCGTCTACAGTGTTGGCCAAAAGGTGAGTTAAAATTTGTTAAGATTTTCATTTTTTATTAGGTAATTTGTCTGCACTGCTATCCATTTTACATTTATTATATGCACTTGTATGCTAGATTGTACAAAATCCAGTGCATCAGTATTGACAAACACTACAAAATAACTGCAGAAATTAAACAACATAACTATGGAAATTTTCTTGCACCATATGTTTGTTAATTTCAAAGTTAATAAATTTGAATAATGTAGTGGCATCTACATTTTAATATGTTCAAAACATTGGAGATCAAAATCTTACATCTGATGATCACTTTTAATTCAAATTACTATATTTTATTATTAAATCTTTATCAAGTAGACAAGTTGATTGCATTTCTTATTGTTTGAAATTAGTATTCTGCTTTTTTATGGTTTAGTAAAATTATACATATACTCATTATACGTAATATGCAGTTTATTTTTTTAAAATTATGTGAATAATAATACCGCTTTTTTCCTTTTCTCATACATTAAAAGATAATTTCAGTTGTCCTATATTGCATTCGAATATATCGATTTTTTGAAACCAGTGAATAAGTATAAAGTATGTTAAAAAGCCTAAATATTAATATATTTAACTAAGTACAAATTCGAATTATACATAAAATATACAGAATTTTGTTTCTGTGCTAGAATTGATGTGCACTAGATTGATGCTTACATCATATTTACAAATATTAGTTTTTTAGTATATGAAATACAGAAAAAAATGATGTTTTTATGTTTTAGTAAAGTTATTTTCTAATCAAATAATAAATTTTCCCTCCTAAATTAAAAAAGGCATATATACAGAAATACATATAGAAATATGTACTTATACGTATAGCACATGTATATGAAGATTATATAGATAGAATGCTGTGCATGTACCATAATTTCTTAAAAGATGATGAAACTATTAAGTTGAAAACGTTTTAATTTAAATTTTTTTTTCTTGTGGTAGAGATATATATTCTTGCGTAAAATATCATATTTATATGTATGCATACATACAATATAGCTTATAAAATAAGGTGACTTATTCTAAAAAAAAACATTGATTGATGAATATCTATTTTGTGCCCTACTTAGTCTCCACAAATAATGCAGCCTTTTTAATTTGTATTTTTTTTAAACTTAATGAAAGTATCCCGTTATAATTAAATTTACGGCTTCAACGTTCTCGTCCAAGATTCGCTAAAGTCAAATACTTGTAGCACTTTGTTTGTTTCCTTATATGATTTTAAATAGTGTGCTTTGATGATAGCAAAAAGCATTCAATCACACTAAAACCCACCCTCTCTGTCTGCCAAAAACAAGCTATTTGAAATGATTGTTATTAACACGTTACATCAGAGTTCTCAACATGCACAGATGATAGAATTTGAAAAGTCACCTTAGTTTTTGAGTAGCAATGTATGAATATTTTATGCAGAATTTTATTTTTTACAATTATTGTACAATTACGCAATCAATAATGTTACACATTTTTATTTTACTTCTATTTATGGATTATTATCATTTATCCAATATCTGAATTCGAATTTTAATTAATTGCTTGACTAAATGCATCATAATATATGGTAGAATAACGTTACAGTACAATTGAAAGAATGGGCAAGTGCAATTTTTTGAAAATTAGCTTTTAAATTTTTAATTTTTTTTTGAAAATATTCATACAATGTCCAAATGCAAAATTAATCATAATGAAGAAACTCTACACATGAAAATCTTGAGTTTCTTTATTATGATTAACTTAAAATTTGGAAATCATATGAATGTTTTCAAAACGTTCTGAAAGAAAGAAAAATATAAAATGTAAAATTAAAATTCTTATGAATTTTTAATTTAATTGATACAGCACTGAATGTACAAATATGTGTTATTGAGAATTTGTATATATGGACTTCGATTTTAGCGTATATTTAGAAATGTTGTTTGTCTTGACAAAAAAAATGTTTGAAAATTAATTTTATAAAAATGATTTTTTACGTTTGTATAAACTTGCTGGTTTTTGCTGCAATTATTCATCTGTGATTGTGTATTTAGTAGTAATATTTGTATTATTCTAATTACATGAATGCTATTTTATCACATACGCATGCTTTATTTATAGTGTAGATTTAGTTTGTTATTTTATGGAAATGGAATGCTTTTATTGTAAATTTTAGAAATATAACCAACTTGATAATAGAATTTGTAAATCTCATGTTGCTTTGTAATGAATAAATAATTTATCAATAATCTAATTATAATTAGCATGTGCTCTGTGTTTCCTCTCACCAGATTGGCCAGATTTTATTTAGAAATCAAATTCACTATTCTTCATTGACCTTGATACAGGATTTACATTACAATAATATTTTACATCGAAAAAATTGTTTTACAAAAAAAAAAACACGTTCATTGGAGGGATCGGGTTAAGACGATTGATGCATGTTTGACTTTACAAATCTACTTTTGTTGACTTCAGACTTACTTATTAACCCATTACCTTCCGCGATACACGAATGGGATTCAATTTGTTTTATTACATGTTTCATTACATCTCAAATATTTTAATTTGAAGCAGAACACGTTTAAGTTCACATCTCTCAAACCGATGTCAGTTCAATAAATCAACATATGCCACTTGTTAATCGGTATTTATAGTTGAATTCAATTATCGCTTTTTTCCAGAAGCGTTGCTTTATTCGGAATTTGTTTCGTATTATATCATAATGATAAATAATTTTTTATGTGCAAATAATTTTTAATATATTTTATGTTTTATGTTTACACGAGGTACATTAACATTACATAATTACCACTATGTTTCTTTCCGGACAATAAATCCCAAAAAGTAATAAAAAAGGGACTTTGTAGTTAAACGCTTAATCTGGATGTTTCAAAATTAAACACGTTCCATCATTTAGGCTTTATACTGTCAAAATTAATTTTTTGTATAGAACAATATTGTTCGATAATTGACGATATAAGTTAAGAAAAACTTAAAAGAATTGATTATGTACTTAATTTTTCAAAAAATATACGTTGTCATTTGATGAAAATGATTATTTTTGTTTTGTAAATTGAGAAAACATAGCTTCGTTCCTAAATTTTCTAAATTTAATTAACGGATTATGTACGATTGACACATACGAACGCAACAAGCTATGTTTTCTCAATTTATAAAACAAAAACATTTTTATCAAATCCCAACGTATATTTATTTTTTAAAAAAGGTACATGATCCATTCCTTTAGTTTTTATAAGATTTTAACATCCCGTAGGGAAAGTTATAGAAATCACAAAAAAATCGAAAATGAAATTTTTATATATTTTTACGTTTCCAAGATTTTGAACATGTTGGCATATCTTAAAAAATTAAAAAAAAATGAATGTGTGTGTGTGTGTGGTTATGTATGTATGTTTGTATGTATGTGCGGATCCCTATTTTTGTGGACGATTTCGTAAACACGGATCAACCGATTTGAATAATATAAAAACATTCAATTCGTATTAATGGGGATACGTCCGATTAGTTTTTGGCAGAGGCAGGTTTTTGGCACGGGGCAAAAAGTGCCAAAAATGATAATTCAGTTTTTGAGATATAACGGGGGGTCGGATTTGAATGATTCAAAAAACATTTTATTTGTATTAACGAAATGAAGAATTGACGATTTTTGGGTATAAACGTTAAAAAATGCTATTTGGCGGACAAAAATAATTTGACATGCAAATCAAATTATCAGATATTTTAGATTCTTATAATAGGTGTTAATTTTGTTTACGTTTCTATGGGTTCCGTACCAATGTTTATCCGTTAGACTGCGACACTCCGCTTACGCGCTTCGATATTTCTTCTCTAAAAAAGCCGCGCAGCACGATTACTTTGAAACTAGCTGTAAGTGGAATTCTGTCTTAAGGCAATTAAGGCATCGTGCCTTAAGGCAAATTGCTGGAACTTCCCGTACCAAAAATTATTATTTTTTTAAAAACGATTAACATTTTTGAAAAAAATTTACTTCGCAAAAATAAGATTTTTGATAAACAATTAGACAAAAAATTACTTTTTTTGAAAAAAAATTAAAAAAATTTTTTTTTTAAATTTTTTTTTTGAAAAAAAAATGTTTTCTTTATTTTGAAAGATCTAAACTTTTTTTCAAAGCAATCGTACTGCTTTAACTGCATAAAGACGAAATATCAAACCGCGTAAGCGCCTCGTCGACGTCTAACGCGTAAACATTGGTACGGAACCCATAGGAATGTAAACCAAAATTATACTTATTGTTAAAATCTCTATAAAATATCTGATAATTTGATGTGCATATGTCTAATGATCATTTTTGACCGCCAAATGGCATTTTTTTTTACTTTTTTCATTAGATCTCCGAAACCGCTAGACCTGCCTTTATGAAAATTTGATCGGTTCTTCACCTTGTTTAATAAAATGTTTTTTGAATTATTAACATCGGACGCTCCGTTCTCTTAAAAACTGAGTTACCGTTTTCGGCACTTTTTGCCCCGTATCTTCGGAACGGCTAGACCTGACTTTGCCAAATAATAATAATAATAATAAATAACTAATCAGCACGTCTCCTTATCAATACGAATCGAATCTTTTTTGAATTATTCAAATCGGTTGATCGGTGTTCCCGAAATCGTCGGCGAAAATTTGTATCCGCACATACATACACACACGCACACACACACACACACACCCACACATACATCCATTTTTTCTAAGGTATGCCAAAATATTCAGAAACATTTGAAACGTCGAGAAATGCAAAAATTTTCATTTTCGATTTTTTTGCGATTACTATAACTTGCCCTACGGGAAGTTAAAAAATTTTAAAATATAAAAAAAATTGAATTTTTTTCCATGTATTACAAATTTCTCCAAAATCTTATTTTTTCAAAGTTTTCAAAAACTTTTAAAACTTTAAAAAATTTTAATTTCTGGTATGGAAAGTTTCAGCAATTTGCCTTACACTAGATATATCATCAATTATCCAACAATATTGTTCTATATAAAGAAATTGTTTTTGACATAATAAAGCCTGTTGATGGAACGTATCTAGTTCCAAAACGTTAAGATTAAACAACTAAAAATTCACCGTTTTTTATTGTTTTTTGGAATCTATTGCTTGCGAAAAACAATATATATTTAATAATCCATGATGTCCTTTACTATTCATAGTGTCGTTTTCGTAACAATAACTATCGGTAGTTAATGGGTTAACATACATCTTAATAACAAAATTAGCCAAGTTCGCTTGATGTTAGACATGTCTATTAGGGAATTAAAAGAACAGACCACCAGGATTTTATTTGTTCCGCAGTGCCAGGACGTCGAATCGCGCGCACATCAGATGACTATTAAACACCCCGGTCCCGTCCAACGGCCAATGCCGGTCAATGCCAACCGCGGCTTATAAGATGATGCGAGATAATTTGGATTACAGAGTTGATCAGGAGGGCGGCAGCGGCGAAGCGGGCACCTGTCACGAGGAGCCGATCAGCTTTGAGGACTACAAAAATCTACGCAGTTACGTGTTCGACGAGTCCATAAGGACGCGCGGCCGCGTTTTGGCTCAGAACGCGGCCGACTCGCGGAGGGTCAAGAAAACCGGCGCGTCGACACGGAAATCGTCCACGAGTCCCGCCCGGGGTCAAAGGAAAACGAGCGTTGCTGCCACCGCTTCAGTGTCCCCGACGCCTGCCAAAAACAAGTTCAAGCGAGCCCTGAGCAGTTCGCCGCTCGAGAAAGACTGCGTCAAAATTTCGAGACGCGCTGCTGCCGACAAAACGGCGAGAAGGTAGGCTTATTTGTTATCTATCAAATTTTACGTTCCGTTTCTATTTCGCACACGTTTTGACTAGCACGATTATGTTTTATAAACATATGTAATTTTAAGAGGTGATAAAGATAAATATTTAATTTTTAAGTGGTATATAATTTTAGTAAGCTTGATCACCCCTCGCAAATTTTAATGATTGTAATGGATAAATTATATCATGGTTTTTATTCAACTATGGTGGGTGTCCGAGACCTTGAAATTAAGCCGAAACTGGGTTATGGTATTGACCTTAATTTCCTGAATAAAAATTAAAAAAAAAAAATATTTCACGTTGTTTGGAAATTATGAATTTTAAGTGATTGTGAGCAAAATGTATGTACTACCAAAAATCATGCCATTTTTGTTTTCATTTTTTCGAAATGTTTCAATAATAAAATTATCAAGTATTTTATCATTTTACAATCCTGATTAAATGCTTCAACTTTTGATATTTTTGATGACACTTTCCAACTCCTAAAATCGACCGATTTTAAAAATTTTAAGTTCATAGGAGAATTTTGTTGCCATAGTTTAACGAAAAGTTTTAATTCTTGAAAACTTGGGGCATTTGTGTTATTGTTTTTGACTGTGGTCTTAAAAATGTTATTCACGGTTATGGTTCCACCCAAAGATTAAATGAACAAAAATGATAAAAATTAATCACAATAAACGAAAAATGGTCATATTTTTACCAAAGATCTAAGTTGACCTTAAAATCTCATAATTTACAAACAACATGAGATATTTTTTTCTATTTTTTTCAGTACTGTTAAGTAGTACTATCACCCCGTTTCGGCTTGACGTCAAGGTCTGGGACTTCCTGTATGTTTTTAACTATTATGTTTCTGTAGTTTTCACTGCTTAATTTAATATTTTATCCGTCCAAACATGGCCTATTTTATTTATTGAATTGATTCACATTTTATTTCATTGATCACAATTATCGAACTGCTATTCCGATTGTGAGTGATATGAGCAAATATACTCATTTAAGTCAATGTTTCTAATAATTGCCATGATGTATTCAATTTCAAGATTGTGTGAATTTTTTATCGTGTGTATTTTTATTATATTTTTATTATAATAGCATAATTTTATGAGAATTATATGAAAATTATATAAATGTCAATTTATATTGATAGATTAATATAAAAATATTTAATATTTTTATTAGCTGATAATTTTTAACTTAAACGGCTTTTAAAAAGTTTTAAGAAATGCTATATACGTGTATTCATTTTAAAAAATTAGAAAATGAAGTTTTTAGTACAAATAGCTACTAAATATTAGCACATGGAACCTTAGTGAATGATAAATGTTGTTAAAGAATTATAGTAATATTTGCTATTTGCATAGTAATCATAATGCTACGATCGTCATTTGATAAAATATATTTAATATACAAGAAATTAACGTTCAATGCAACAACATGGATAAAATTTGATTAATTTATTTATATTATTAAAATTTTCATTCGTAAATTTTTACTTTATGACTATGTAAAAATATGATTTATGTAAAAATAACAAGCAATTGTTTAATTAGTATTTTCTCTATGAGATCTCTGTATACTCATCATAAGCGATCATAAGCGAGTTTCTCAGACAAATATCCAAAGAGCCTTTATATGAAAATACTAACAAATCTCTGATGTGTTTAAGCCATGTTGCTGAAATATATACTATACCGGCAATTTAAAAAATACGATTTAGCTTTCTTGTTTCACGCCGAAACAGTAGTGAAGAGTTTTATTTTCCAATTCTATTGGGTTTTGAATCTAGTATGAATTAATAAATATCAACAATATTTAATATTGTGAAATGTTAAGATTGAAAATTGTGACTTATATCATTTAATTTGGGACCGAATGTGCTTAAGATTTTACTAAAACCAAGGTTATGTTATGATGTTTGTGCAATATATAGAATCTGCACTCAAATAATATAAATTTTAATAGAATAATATAGAATTTGCTGATATAGATACTTGACGACTGACATTTAGAATTAAGATCCATAAGCAAAATCTGAATCTATAAATAACATAACAAATAGGATTTAATTTTATTTTTAAGCTAAAATTTTCCTAGCTCGATTTTAATTACATTCTTCTTAATATTGCCGTATAGATGTATAAGTACAATAAATGTGTAAGTTATTTATGCGTTTTGTTATGGAAATAATAACATATCTATCACCGCTTATAAAATTTCTAAATGTTTCAATTTGATTGCCGTTGTTATATTTACGTAACATTTCAAATTATATAGTATTAGATATAAAGTAATAAATGAAGACAAAATATAAACAAAAGTGAATTTAATATTTAATAATTATAGATAATATAGAGATTTTAAAATTTTGTTACATGTGTGTTTGTAAAGAGGTTTTTCTAGAATCTGTGACTAAAGCTAAAAGGTATTTTTAATTAAGTGAAAGCTATATCGATTGGATTGAGATTGCCGAAAAGTATATAGTAAGGGTATATCATTCTATTAATTATAATGAATATCGATTTTGCTTTGCTTAATTTTAATACCACTATGGTACTTTAGACAGTTGTGATTACTGAACAAAAGGCGCACATAAAATGCAATATATTTTGTGTAGCTATTTTGATGCAAATTACTAGATTTATAGCTTCTAATGTATGATGAGCGAAAATATTTTAACGCTTCACGCAAAAATGACCTTATTTAAATATATTGATATTGCATATTAACACAATTGATGTACTATGGAATCTTAAGAATGTTTTACATATTTAAGTCTTTTGTGCAGTAATTCATCATTAGGAATTTTTAGAAATCTAACATTGCAAGATGAAATTTTTATTCATGTATTTCTCACACAAAACGATCGAACGATCATGGGTTCATCTAACAGTGGCCTGGTTTCGTCTAGTTTAACATGAAATATTTGCTCATTTGATTGTTTTGTGTGGGACTAAGTAATGTATTATCAAAAAGTTTTTCAACTAACAAAATTGTTATCTCAAAAGTTTATTAACATAAATAAAACATGGAAATAAATAGCGATGTTTATCGAATTATAAATCATGTCAGTCGGTTAATGCGATTTTTTTTTGTCAGATATAGTAGATTTTTAACCCTCGCCGTAGCATAAATCGCATCAACCATGGTTAGATTTTTAAAAATATTATTGTCATCGTATATTGAGATTTTCATTCGCGTTTTTAGGTAGATTAACATGTGTTTTACAAAATCATATGATAACGTGCATTATAGATAATATTTAAATTCGATATTTTAACAATTAAAATAATTTTTTAGATTTACGCTTATAGCCAAGCGTTTTGTGTATATAACTTGAGATATATAGGAAACATGTTGTTCGTTTTTTTTATGAAAATAGGCTCGCCAAGTTTTTTTTCCACCCATTAGTTCGCTAGCAAAGCCGGAAATGTGGTTTCACAACGAAGTTTTATTGTTGATATATATTGTGAATAAAGGGGGTATTCTAGTCTAGAGGCATGAATTTTATGTGATTTTTAAAAGGCCGTTATAGAAAAAAACAATGTTGTTACTATCAATTTTTTTATAAGTTATTAATGTTTTCGGAATACACAAAAAATTGAAAATTAAAAAGTTAAAAAGTTAAATTTTATTGATGAAGTGGGGGTATCAATAAATTGGCACATGATTGTTATTTTAGACCTCCAAATAATCCAATAGAAGAACAAGAAAAAAGTATATAAATGTAAAATAATGTCGCATTCATATGAATTTCCTAAAAAAAAATTGTATACAATTTTTTATTTTGGTAATTTTGAATTAAAAAAAAATAGTAATAAATTGGAATTTGGGGATCAGTTCATATTGATAAAAAATCTGTAAAAATTTTAAGTAAATTTAGTTTCGAGAAAATTGCATTTAAAATTTTGTGGAGTAAGGAAACAGTGTAAGATTAACGTGGTAAACAGTTAAATCTTAGAAAATAAATTAAATTTTAAAAAATCTCTTGTACACATATTCGAATAGTTAAACTTTGAAAATATAAAAAACGGTTGCTTAGAACTTCTAGATTAGAATACCCCCTTAATATTTGTCATGGACGGTTGTGATTTGAAAAGCAAAATTAATATAAATTTAAATATTGCAAATTTTGGATTTATAAACCATACCATCATGTTATAAACTTGTAATTGATCTAAAAATTTATCGTGCATATTTTTCAATTTTTCCCAATATTTACAGCATAGATAAGTAATCAATTTACATATGCAAAACTCTGAAAACATTTCCTTATTGGCCTTCCTCTATACCTTCGCAAATAATACTTGTTCGTGGAGATCAGAATTTTATATTTCCAGCAAATTTTCTATAGCCCGTTTAAAAATAATTAGTATCAATTATTAAATGATACGTTGGTAAAGTTTAGTTCTAATGCTTTTCAATTATGTTGATTTTAAATTTTCGATTTTGAACCGACTGTCTATGGAGAACTATCGAGTTTGAACTCGTTAATTTTTAGCATCAGAATGCCAAATTAATGTACAAAATATTATTTATCATAATAGTTGAAATAATTATTCATTTTAGAGATCATATTGAGACCTTAACATTATATAATATAATTTAATGTTTTTTATCTGTACATATTTGTACATGTTTCGTAATTATTGACGAGATGTATAAATTTGAAAAAAATATTAACATGGCCAATGTTACTATTATTGCCATAAGAAAAATGTAGATGATCATACAACTATTGAAATTAATTGATGTTCTTCTGTGCGATACGTTTTTATGCTAATGTCTAAGGATCATGTTAATGTTTAATTAAAAATAATATTTTATTGAGTCTGTAATTAATTTATATTAATTTGTTATTTGAGAGTTTTACAGCATGTATCTTAATCTTGCCATTTAGACAAATTTATATTGATAAATACATTTGAACAAATACTAAAAAAAAACTATATTTCACAATTCTGAAAATCTCGTCAATACTTTTCAATCTAATGCTTAAAAGTGTATTAAATAATAATTTTAAAAATATAGATT